CGACCATTTCTGGCCGGCAACTTTCAGCGTCATTAAGCCGCTGCGCCACCATGTCCCCCCAGCAGTTCTTTAGCACAATAATTAATTATTAGTAGTATAATTAGGTGTAGATGTTAACTATAGTTATAGCTAAATTGTATTTTTCTTTAAACTGATTGACCACTCATTAAAATTAACATTTTGATTTTAGGGAACACGGTTCTGTTTCTCAAGCTTATAGTATAGGGAAATATTTTAGGGAAAGGAAATGGAAATTATTTGCTAACTATAGCTAGCAGAGAGCTATTGGTACAGTTGTACATTTCCTGTTGCCACACTTGAAAAATGCTACAAAAACTATGGGAAAAGAGCTGAAGAGGGTAATCAAAATAATCAGGGGATTTGAGTATCTTCTTTATGGGAAAAAGTTAGAATGGGCTCTTTAGCTTATAAAAAAAGCAACTCAGAACATGTTGAGGGATTTGAAATCATGCATGACCTAGAGAAAGTGGACAGGAGAAGTTTTTATCTCTTCCTCAAAATGTGAAGACCAGGGATCATACAATGAAAGTATGGGGAAGAGAATTAGAACACACAAAAGTACAACTTTACAGGTATATAATTAACCAGTGCAATTCATTACCAGAAGACAGGGTGATAATCTGGAAGATTCAATGCTACTTCTGCTACTAGCTGGGAACAGCATGCCTTCAAAAACCAGTTGCAGGGGAATAACAGTGAGAGAATGTAAGACTCCACACTTGCTCCTTGTGAGCACCCCAGAGAAATCTGTGGGGTTGGGAACAAATGCTGGACAAAGATGGCTCTTGACCTGATCCACCAGGACTATTCTTATATTCTTACAATTTAAAACTGTGGAAAAATAAATCTGTCCTTTGTTGTACAAGCCAAATAAATGTTCTTCTATTAAACAGTGATATTAATGGCATAACTAAATACTGGCTAGTATCCATAATATTTAAAAGCTTCCCCCCCCCACAATATTTCATAGTAATATTATCCATGACTCTTTCCACTGGAGGGCTCCTATTCTTAAACTACCTATTCCAGTCACTGAGCACATTTTTAGAATAAAGCAATACAGTTAAAATGGCAGCAAGTTGTTGTTTTTTAAGTGAATATACATTGTTTGGTAGGCAATGTGCTATTTTCACTGTAAACCAATGTTAGTTTAGCTATGATCTATGGAGGATAGTTTACATAATTTTGTAACAGGGCCTTAAGGAGAATTTTAATGACCTAAACCACCAAGATCTTATTTCAGTACCATGCATGGAATTCTGAAGACAAATGTGAGCTTACCTGTGATGCTGCACAGTAATCTCAGAGTAGGTGTCTCACCTCCATAACCATTAATCATCACATCACTCGAAGCTTTGGGAACAGGAATAGTCATAGTTATCGGCTTATGGAATTTTCTTCGCCTAGGTTCCAGTGTGACAATAGGACTGAATGTGGCTTTGTTGCCTAAAATTTTCTTTATAAGTTCATTGTGCATAGGTTGGGCCTATCCAAAGATATGGAGAAAAGAAAACTTAACTTAATTATAATCATTTGAATAATGATCAATTACAATAACATAGTTTGTACTCTGTGGTGATTTCCCTTCACTTAATTTGCTGCTAACTGCTGTCATCAGCTGATCCCCTCTCCCTTACTAACTGGCCATCAGACCATTTCTAGTGAAAATATCTCTAGGAATTATAATTTACCAAAGCTCTGGGGTGTTATGATTTCACAGAATTCTCAAGAAAAGAGAATTCTGACAATTATCTGAAAAATCTTTAAATCCAGTTAGAATCAAGATGGGACAAATTCAGTTATCTCTAGCCATTAGATGAGTACAACTGGATATCTTCATATTCTTATGTCATTTGCTGAAAATGATAAAACATTCTGTGAACAAGTCCTTTTATCTTTTGTATACAAGAATTCTTCCAGTGAAGTCTAACTCTTTTGGATTATTTGTGAATTAAACTAGACTTATGGCATGCTAATCAGAAATTTAATGAAAGACAAAACTGGAAGAAATGAACCTAAATTAGTGGTCACAGTTCAATCCTACACTCAGAAGTCTTAGTAAGTGAAATGGGGCTCAACCCCAAGAAAGTGGGCACAGGCTTTTAGCCTTAATGTTATAAAAGGCAGACACACAGCTTTTATACCAGTAAGTCGCACACATGTGCATCTTGGCTGCAAAAATCTAGATGATCATTACTAGTCCTTTCCATGAGATTTTCTCACTAAATTTTGAGTATCTGACTTAGCAAAAGTTCCAGTACAAGCGAATACGTGTAGCTCAGGGTTGAACTGTGGAGTCCTAGGGTTCTCTGAGCTTGGTTCTTTTCTTGCAAATGTGTCATTACCCGGCTAGGTAACACTGAAGATGTGTAACACTGAAGATGTTACCCAGCCAGGTAATGAAACATTTGCAAGAAAAGAACCAAGCTTAGCAAAAGTTATTACTGAAGTAGAGCTATGCTATAGTACTTCTCTGTTATTTTGTTTTTCTCCTAAATTCAGTATAATACTTAAACACAGAAAATATTACTAACTAGGGCACAAAAAAAAAAAAAAAAAAAGAGGAGAACCTAACTCTTTGGGTCATTAAGGATCCATCTAGATTTTTGCCACCAAGATCTGGTAGTCCTAAAAAGAATTAGTGTGCAACCAATTGTATAATAGTTTTAAAAAAGTTTTTTTTTAGGTCCTTTATCAGTCATGTGTATGGATAAGTTTTTCAAAGATAAAAAGGCTCAAAGAATTTTTTAAAAAGGCACTATATGAAAAATTAATATTTTATGTGCTCTAGGGAAAAAGGAAAATTCATGTCAACTTTCAAAAGTATCTGGCAAGAACCTGGCCTCTTAAAGAAGACTCCTTCTTTAAATAAATGTTTTGAATGCATTATTGGTTTTAGATATAGTTATGGAGACCTTTTGTTCAAACCTTTGCTACAAATTTTTGGATATATAATAAATTATATCCAAAATAAGTTAATATGTTATAAATTATAACAGGGTCTGTTTGCCCTCCACTAAAACTGGAATTCAGGAGACCTAAAATGCAGGGCAAATACCACAGAGGAATCAAAATGGAATAGAATTACAGGAAACCTCTCTTATCCTTAACAGAAATACTGCCTTACAAGGATTGTAACATTCTGATTTGGTTTCTCCTACCTGAAGACCAACACGAATTCTCTTGGTTAATGCTCCCTCTGGAAAGACTGCTTGTACTTGTGGAACTACAGTACTGCTTAGTACACCACCCTCAGGTCCAATGAGATTGCTGTCTTGTTTGATCCGGGATACCACTGCAAAGTACTGTGGGAAGTCCCGGGTGATAATACGGCAAATACGTTTCTTCTCCAGCTCTTCTGGAGTGTCGAGCACTGGGTGAAAAGAGCAATCATCGCTTCAGATAGTAAACACTGGAATTGCCATAGAGAAAAACTATACATTCAGTCTCATACATGGACCTTTTAATGTTTCAAAATTTATTTTAAAAAGATGTATGAGACCTCTTCCAAGCATAACCCCTACAGTAACCTGACTTCTTTTCAAGCTTCTGTGACACCCTAAAAAAAAAACTGTAGCTGCTTGAAAGTACCCCATTAAAACAGCCACATTTTTTTCCTTTCAGAATCATGTGGAAGATAGAAAAATATGCTCTAATGAACAGCAGAAAGGTGCTATATTCTTATGAGGTCAAAGTGCCTTTTCCAGATAGTTTTCAAAGCACACACAGCCCTAATATACAAACATAAGCTTACACATTTACACACCTTTTTGCTAAATGTGCTTCTGATCCTAAGAGGTGAAGCCAGAGTAACTTTCACAAATTTGCACTGAGTAGATTCAGGACTTGAGCATCATATAAGTAGAACAATTCACTATTTGCTGCTTATGCACAGCTACAATATTTCCATTTAAAAGCTGATTATGGATGATCTCATCCACATATTTAAGGCCATGTTAGGCCTATTGTTATGTCATAATGGAACTGATGTACAAAAAAGAAAAACAGTATGTTCAGAGAAAGGTTAGGCAATTTTAATACCTTTGGGTGTCTGGGCCTACAATTCCAATTCCCTTCCATTGCCATGCAGTCTGAGGATGTGGGATTTCAAGTCCAAAATACCTGAAGGACATCAGATTGTCTATCCACGTAAGGAGAAAACCAAGGTTCAAATCCCTTACCTACCCATGAAACTGACTTCATGATCCTGGAATATAACTGTTTCTCACCTTATCTAGGTATCAGAAGTACTGAGACTAAAGAAGGGAGAAAAACCTAAGACCTTTGAATGAAGAGTTTGATATATGTGTATTATAAAAGCAATATTTCAGCTTGGAAGCAGAAGCTTAATATCTACATGCTTTATATTCCAAATCATATTTCAGAAGTAGCTTAGCAATCATCACATTAAGTTTCATGAGATCTGTGTTTGGTTAAAAATGGCTAGAGCAATACAGCTATAGTTTAAGTATTTTACATTGTTATTCCGAATATAAAAAGATATTTTGGAACCTGTACTAATGCATATAAAGTAATAAAATAAAATAATATGTTTGGAGGAGCATGATATGGTGTACAATGTGAATTTCGTAATAGATTTCATGTTTGCCTTCTTATATTTCTTTAACATGTAATCACTAGTTCAAATTTTATCAAAATAGTTGTATATAAAATACTAGTTTTAAAAATGTTAACCAGTTAAACTATCCATAATACACAATCCATGTTACTCCTAAATTCCAATTTATAATCTATTAGAATATCTATGTGCTCCATTTACAGTTAGACTTCAGCACTGTGCACCTGGCTGACTTCAAAAAGCAAACAGGGTTCATATCTGGTGAATACTTAGACTGGACACAACTAGGATATCCCTGGGCTGGGAAATCAAAAACATCCCCAAGAAGTGAGTAGGGTAATGAAAACTACATTAATGTATTTATGAAGTCATAAGGAACTTCATTTATTGGAATTTATTTTTTTTATTGCATTATGCTCCCTTTCTGAAAATCCTGTTAACCTTCTACCATATAACTATTGCCACTATTTTGAGTGCATAAGTAATTGACAGAAACTATATGACAAATTAGAATTGCTATTCCTTCCAGCTAAGTAAGCATAGGACTATAACTTTGATTATTTTTCCTGTGGCTTTAAGATCTTGCTTATAAAAATATGTACCTTCATCCATTCCATTTAGTATTTCATTTAGCTCATCTTCTGTAAATTCACAGAAATGCTCTTTCCAGTTGTCCCCATTCTCGCTGCGCAAAATCACCAGCTCTCTTTCTTTACCACGCAAAGCCGCAAAGTGAGGGATTTCAACAATCACAGGCCTATTACAGCAACAGATCATGTTAAAAGATTGTGACAATAGAGAAACAAACAGATAGTTTTGTTTAAAGCCTGTAACAAAGAGACCTGGAACTCTGCCAGTTTCTTTGTTATTCCTTGATATGATTCTGAAAAAAGCATGCTAGGAGCACCTTCATATTGTAGCTAAGATCAGTCAGTGTTGCACTTCTAGTTTTTCTGTGTACATAGAACCCTGCCAAAGACACAGGGATATGGATAAATATTTTAGATTTCTTTTTAAACATTGATAAAATCCATAAAATTGAAAGTTATTTCGAAGTCTGGAACTGTGTGCAGGCATCCTTGTTATAAAGAATCTACTGGTGTGTGTGCGTAAATGTTAAAGAAAAATTATGTTCTTGTAATAGAGGAAAAAAGAAACCATTTTAAGTAACAGGGTATTTTTGTCTTTCATTTGCGTTGACTTTAAATTGGCTCTTTATTTCAACTGACATTTTCAAAGCTTATTTTTATATAGTGAATATACTGAAATAAATAATTTCAAATTATTTTACAAATGCAGAGATTTAAGAAATGCTTATTATGCACATCCGTAATACATTCTCGTAACACATGCTTTCTACTTTTGTAAATTCTATAAATACATTGTTGTATTAATAATTTTTCAAGAATAACTGAATTATGTAAAGCCATATTTATTGATCATGCTAAATGCTATGTTATATCCAATATATAACATATGTATTATACTGGGGACTATGGCGGCAAAATAATAATAATAATAATAATAATAATAATAATAATAATAATAATAATAATAATATTATTGCAGCAACAGATTCCTTTCATTTTAGTCTCCAGGTTGTCTTTGTCTCAGACATCAAGCACATAACAGCA